ATCTTATATATGTATCTTGTATCGCATCATCAATACATTCCAAAAATGTCGAATGAATTAAACTTATGATTTTTATATGTTTTTTAATATTTTCCTGAAAATAGTTTTTCCAACATGGCAAATATAAAAACAAAAAATGTTGAGCTCGAGTTTAATCGATCTAATGGAACGTAAAATGGTAATAAAGAAAAAAAGGGTAAGAAGGAAAATATTTAATAAAATTAAAATTGTTAAACAAGTATTGAGTGAACGCAATTTTCTATCGCGTAATTCCATCCTTCTCCATTCTAAATTTTCACTTTAAGGAAAAGTGCGCGCGATGAAAATGGCCGCGAGAATGAACGTGGGAATGAATGCGTGCACTCACCTCGATGGAAATGTATAGGCAGCAGGATGTGGTCGTCGCATCTTCTCGCGTCGATCGCTGGATCATTCATACGATGGAGCCTCGACGTGACTGTAATGTTGTTGATGATAATAATGGAGATACAAACGATGAGGAATACGCCGTTCGCGCTCGACGTTGTGACGCACTATAAGCCGCGCGCGTTTAAAGTGAAGTTGCCGCGGTCACCGCGCGGTCACTTTACCGCCACGCGCATGCGCCAATCAAGTCCACGGCAGTGGCGACAGTGGCGGGCTACGCGCCCGCCATATTGCGCCTCTGCGTGACGAGCTGTGGCGGCGATCGAGTTTGAATTGTACGTAGACGATGTAGAATCAGGGGGAAACGCAATGCTTACACGCTCGTTTCTAGGCGACGAGTCAAGCTCGCGCATGACATCTGCACGGCTTAGATAAATCGTTACGATTGTATACACACGCCGCGATTGAATAAAATTCTATCGAGCATTAAATAACAGGAACTGTATATTTCGAAAAAATTGACATACGCGACGATTGGCAACGATTAAACGCAGAGAGAAATTTTTCTCGAAAAGCAAAAAATCTTGATCTTAACGAATAAACGTTTGATTTTGTTTTGTTTTGACAAACGCGCCGTCCTCTCAATGCACGATTATGCTAATAGACATGGACAAGGACAAGAATATTTATCAATTACACATAAGTTTTATACGACGTAGGAGAAGGCTTGTAAAACGACTAGCGAACGATAAATAATAGGTCGATATAAATACGCAATTTCACAACTTTCATAGTTGTTTATTTGTGAGAAAGGCGGAATAAATTCACAGAGGCCACTGTGCAAAATCGGCATTTGTCACGTATCGCCGAATACACTCCGTCACGATACGCTCTAGTGACTTTATAAAGTGCAACGCGGGTCCGTCGGCGACCAATGCGTCGATGAAGTCCTTGAACGCACCGCATTCTGGCATTCTGCAAAGTCCCGGGGCTATCATCGACCCATACACCCGTATCATTCCAAATGATAAAGCCCCGTGGATGACAGATTATCGTTCATGGCTCTCGCTGTTTCAGGCGTGTTTCAGCTGTCCCGGACAGCCGACGGAGTGTTTTTATCATATGTCATACTGTAACTTTTTATCGTCGAACGTTCGGCGATGCTGTTCTATTCCCGTTGCGATCTAGTGACTTTCAACGCGACGTAATAGCGCCCTGTGGCGAATAGGCCGGCGGCCAGCAGCAGGCTGGCGAGGACGACGAGGAGAAACGTCCACGAGCGGTGCTGCGAATCGACGTTGAGGAGGCCGTGCAGAGCCTCGTGGATGAGACGCAGCGCGCTGCGCAGGGCGTCGCCGAGCGACTCGCCGGCGACGCGGCCGTCGCCGCCGCAGCAGTCGTATGACATATGACGCCGCGTCGCTGTCTAGCATCAAAATAACAGCGAGCGTGACGCGACGAGACTCCCGCCGCGAGCCGTAATCGGCCCCGTCGATTACCGCGGCCGAGACACGAACACGAGAATCGCGACGTACCGTCGACAGAGACGGGACGCGAGCGAGCGAACGTGCGGTGTGTCCGCGCGTGCGTGCGTGCGTGCGTGCGTGCGTGCATGCGTGCGTGCGTGCGTGCGCGCGTCTGATTGTGTGTGAGCAACGGGTGCGGCGAGGTGAACGCCAAGCGAGTTTTCGCTTTCGACTGACTGAAATCGAATGGGCTCGAATCGTATGCCCGCCGCTGCGACCGCGTGTGGGTGCGTCGCTTCGCGTCGCGACGCAACGCGACGCGACGCGACGCGACGCGACAGGTCGCGCGTGCGTGTACGCTCGCGGACGCGTGCCACACGCTTCCGATCGCGGTTACGCTACGCGATTAAAGATACAGACACATTATACTCACGTGACATGACCTCACGTGATATTATGTTAGATGTAATGACGCATATCATACTTAGGAAACGTATTTTTGACACTTGCACCGTCGCTCTTCATCATACATGATTTTAAAGAAGAAGAGTAATAAATTAATGATAGTTGTATAGCATCATTCGAGCAGTAGTTCTTCTGATTAGAGAAAGATATAAAAAATTTAGCGGTTCTTAGATCTTTAATCTATAATATAAATAATAAAAATCATGGATACATGAAATTAATTGAAAAAGAAAAGATTTTGAAGAATAGTTCGAGTTTAGTTACAGAATTACGCGACATGCATAATAGATTTCACATATATTTTAGAATGAGTAAAGAGGAATTTTTATACAATTAGTACTATTAAGGTAAAATTAAATGTCCGCTTATGTCTCGTAATTTAAAATAAGGGGAAAAGTGTGGCAATCATGAGCGTATTTGGAAGGGGGAAGTTCAAATCTCTCCAATTTAAAAAATAAACTTAAAATAAGGTTATAATTTACAAAACCCAATATTTTTCTCATTCAAAATTAGGAATAAGGAAATATTCCAAGTTCTAGGATATTCAAGAAGCAATTTATTAACACAAAAAGTTGCTGTTTGCATATGTAACCGCATATGTAACAGAATTAATAAACTCTTCCGAAAAAAAATCTTGGATATGCCTAGATGATAGAAACTGATGCTTCATGCTTATATCACATGTATAGTAAAAAAAAAAAATATATGAATATTAAAACAATATTAAAACTAATTAAAACAATACTTATGAAAAATTCAATTAGGTTAAGGAAGATAGAAATTAGATACATCAAAACTATCGGAAATTATATACAAATTTATTTATACATTTATTCATATTGCATGAACTTATTCAAAATTAATATTTTTCCTCTTTTCTCTTTCTATTCTGTTTGTTACGCTAGCTAATACATTATAAAAATTAACAAACTACTCACGTAAATATAATCACATTTTAATAAATATTTTGTAAATATCCCACTTTACATCTCCTATAAATATTTAATCAATTATTTTTTCTCATCGTTCAGATTATATTTGGTCTTCAATTTATCTAGGTCCTCCATTTTTTTATCAACGTCAATTCGCTTAAATGCCTTATTACTCTGATAATATAGAACTACCAAATAACGATTACATACATTGAAGCCACTCAAGTGATCACATGCATTCTTGGCGTCAAATATATCCTCATATACAACAAATGCTGTACCTCTGGTCTCAGCTGTGTTACCTCTAAAGAGAAAAAAAAATCGCGAGTTTTGTTATATAACTTCTTTATAGATTTTTCACAGACTCCTATATATAATACTAAACTGCTAACACCTAGTAAATTTATAATAAAAATATGATATCAGTCTGCCATGTAAAATATGAGCTAAAGTGCTATATACTTGTATAACATTGCAAAAGATGATATTAATGTTGTGTAAGTATAAAACGTCTTTATGCAAATAAAGATAATATTGTTAATTTTAGAAAAATGTCTACAACATGCTATATATTTGAATAAAACAGATTCAATAAAAAATAAAATATGAATTAGAAATTTTACACCTATATACTGATTTTTAGCATACACCTCATGGGCATCTGGCTTCTCTCTATAGATTGTTGTTAGCGATATAGTATTATATGTAGAAGTTTGTGAAACTTTAATTTTGAACATAAATATTTTAATTACTTACACTCTAATTTGTCTGATAGCTCCATATTTACCAAATATATCATACATTTCTTCAGCTGTGATTTTATATGGCAAGTTTCTGATATATAAAACCCTGTTTACTTCGGGTGGTAGCCTTACCTAAAAAAAAAAGTTCCGTAAATCAGAGAACAATACATAAATAAGGTTAAGTTAACATCGAACAAATTGTAATTCGATATGCAAATTTTTATAATAAATACTTACATTGGCGCGACGTTGTAACATTGCCATAGTCATTTTGGCGAACCTGTTTATTTATTAAAATCCTTGCAAAATTATAAAATTAATTTTTGGTTAGCCAAACGTCTCGCAACGTATTCAACAGCTAAGGTAAACGAACGTGTTTGCTTCTTGAAAATGGCTGCGTTCAATACAGAGAAAGCTTTAGGTTTGTTCTATTTCTCTGAACTGGTTGCGCTAGTTATATCATAGAATACAATGCCTTGTGTGCTAGAAATCGGTCCGAGATCTCGGATGGGAAGAGAATTGACCAATTGCGTTTGAATAATTCGGCCAATTAACCAATGCGATTGGTCAATTCTCTTTCCATCCAAGATCTCGGACCGATTTCTAGCATCGTGGACATAAGGCACTAGGCTTATTCTTTTTGACTGAACTGATTGTACTAGTTCACAGTTTATCTTTCTTTCTTACACTGAAAGAAAAAAAGATAAACTCTGAACTAGTGCAGCCAGTTTCAGCTAAAAAGAACAGACCCAAAGTTACAGGTAAGGCTGTGTTCGTAAATTCAGTTCTACTGAAACATATAGTCTACGTGACGTATTCTATAGATTTTCAGTACTGGCAGTGAATTTACGAACACAGCCTAAATCGCGGGCATGTCCGCTCTCACGCTTCTCAGGCTCTCAGGTTCTGCTTCAAGCAGAAGAATTAAAAAATGGCTACTTGGATGAAAGTTGCTCGCACTTTTTCCAGAAAATATGCGTCTGGTCCTGACGCGCATGTCAGTTCAGGTGAATATGAATAAAAAGTGCTAATATTTTAATACATTTTATTTACGCATTTGGAAACAACGGGATTTATATTCGCATGACAAATTAGACAATATTGTTGTTTGCAGCAGTATCAATTTGTTAAATATCTATCAATTAAGACTCTAATGATAGTTTTTATATTTGAATAACGTTGTAACGGTATACGTAATATCATATTTTATAAATGAAGAAAAGACATATCAAAGATGTGCAAATAAGTTATCAATGAATATTATATAACAGAACGTTATGCACTTTATAGAGCAGACGCAACTTTTGTGGAAGAGGCTTTCATTCTTCGTAGGCTTCCCAGCAATTGGCCTGGCTATGGTTAATTGTTATTTGAATCATCAAGCTCATCATGGTGATGAACGTCCAGAATTCGTTGCTTATGAACATATGAGGATAAGAACAAAGGTATGTATTGAACATGACATAATATTAAATATGAAAAATAAATAAGCTTTTAAGCAGTCCTTATTAATGCATATTTTACAATACTTTTTTATATGTTATTTTTAGAAATTCCCATGGGGAGATGGTAATCACAGTCTTTTCCATAATCCTAAAACAAATGCTTTACCTGAGGGTTATGAAGATTAAACAGTAATCCTACTTAGATTATCAAATGATCATATTGAGCATTAGCATTCTTTATAATCTTTGTTGTATATTGTATTGACTTATGAACAAATGAGTCAATAAATTGATAGAGACATGCTATTTAAAATTATTTTTCCTTACAAGAAATATAAAACAGGCATTTTTTAGTCATAGCTAGATCTCGGTATTTATATAAATTCAATAGATTTTATTCCTACCATCATTCTCTTCTCCCATACAATATTTTTAATTGCAAGACTTTTGTCGGTTTCAACTATTAGACAATATAAAAATTTTAAAAATAATGTATTTTTGCAATAATATAAAAAATTAACTTACAAAAAATTGTTACATAAACATAAATGTTTTTCGAAAGCATCTTCAAATATTGAATCTATATCATTCAGAAACATAAATATTGCTAGTTCGTGAATGAAAAGCTTTGCTCTACTCTACAATTGATTCAATATAAATATATAATTATTCAATAGGATATTCCAGGTCTCCTGTGAATCGTTAAGCAAATTCTTAAAGTTCGGATGAAAATATAAAAATGCTGGGACTATAATTTTAAATAAAACATTTTAAATTAAATAATCAAATTATATTTGAGTTATATAAAATTATCAAATTATTGACGATTGTCAACTTTCATATCTTCATTGTGTGATTTGCCATGCATGAGAAAAAATAAGTATTTACTACACAAATCTTTTTCATTTCTTTTTTTATTAAAGTATAAAAATTATTTCATGAAATATTTTATATATAGTGAACGTAATTACAATAAATATAATATTGCCTCTTATAAGAGACAATATTATGTAATAAAAAATATATATATTGTAATAAACAGACATTTTTCGGTTTAAATGGCAAATGGTATTATTGTCAAATCTGATACAAGAATATAAAAAAATTAAATATGCGATATATCAACTAATTGTTTATAAAATAAGTAACGATTATAGCTTTATTTGTAAATTCCTATTTCTAAATTATTAATATAAATTAATACTTTATCTATGTATGTATTATTATCTACACGAAATAATTCTTGCAAAATTAGAACGAAGAATATTAAAAAAATATATGATATCTAATTTCCTACATCGTCACTTCCTTCGCAAAAGCAATGATGGATATATGGATATATGTTCGGTACATGCACATGTGCATATATGATGCACATACAAATACACACACGCACATGCATGACAAATTATAATTAATTCGGGTCTAATAAATACATAAATTTAAGTATTCATTGTAAATATTGTGAAAAAAGTAATATTCGCGCATTCTTTTCACAAAAATTAGATATCATGTATTTTTTAATCTTTTTGTGTATTTCCTTTTATCGTCAGCGTCAACAAGAAACATAAAATATTAGTGAAATCATCCTGCATAACTCAACTAGAAAAATTTCGTTAGAAAAATAACGCGTCAATAGCTTTCATATAAATTTCGTAAATACGGGTAATGAATATTCTTAATTGGGAACGAGAACATCGATCGAACGTGTTTGGTTCTAAGAAACTTAAAATCCTAAAATCCTAAAAAAATTCAACAGGATTTTTGAGATTGCAAACATAGAAATATGCGCTTCTAAATTATACGTCGATACAGATAACTGAATCATTGCGACCCTTACATTGCTTATAATGTTCTGCCTTCCAATGCAAAGATGAGCAACGTTTGGAACAATAATGAGCTTCCAAGCATGCTTGACAATATACTGTACTCTTACGTTTACAACGTAAACAAGGTCTTTCATCCACCTCATCTGTACTTTCCAAATGATCATTTATATACAATGACTTTTCACCGTTTTCATCCGCAAACGCTTCCAAGTCCTTTTCAACAACCGTGTCGTTATTCATCCTCTCAAATAACGACGGTGATATGCTCCCAACATTTAAGATATTTGCAATTCTCATTTCCGAATCGTCCCTTTCCTCGGAAATACATTCGGCGTTGTAGTCAACATTAAGAATATCGTTCTCTGTGGAAACTTCCCTTTCATTTACGTCTATAGGATTGTCCTTTAGAGCGAAAGTTTGTGATTTCTCGTAATATCTCGGCTCGGATACTTGCTTGAGTTGTTCATTAATTATTTTAATGCCACTGTGCGTGTGCGTGTCTACTTCTTCTTCTTCTTCCTCATCTTCAGATAGTTTTAAGTCAATCCATTGTATCGTATCGCTGTCCTCGATACTCGATGCATCTTCCGATTTTGACGGAACTTCAAATTTGAGTGGTATTTCTTGAAACTGCATTTCTTCTATTTTTAACGAACATCGCCGCTCATTTTTATCTTCTATTTGTTTCTCTACGATATCGGTCAAAGGTATACCTTCTATCCACGTACCTTCCGAAGTTTCAAGTTTCTTTGATATCTTTGGTAATTGCATTTCCTGCGTTTCTAATGGCGATTTCACATTAAATTTCTCCACCTCTTCTGTTACAAAATCTTGACGTATGTCAACCAGATCTTTTTCAGCGATGTTTCTCAACAGGAATGACAACGATGTCGCTTCTGTAGATTCCAATTTAATTGCGTCGAACGAATGTGCTGAATCTTGCGACATATTCAATTTATCCTCTTCAGCTGCTACCTGATCGTGCCGCTCTTGCCGCAAAACGTCCGCACTTTCATCGATATACAGTTCCCCGAAACTATCGGACGTTTCCACGGAGGAAGTATTACTTTGTTCATTTGCAAGATCTTTCTGCTGCGTATTTAAGGAAAAATCTGACGTTTTAGCGTGCCCCTCGCGTACGGTACGCATATGCAGTGTTTCCACAGATTTGCACCTCTTTACCGGAGATATTAAACACACGTTTAGTGAAGATCGTATCAAATTATTTGATACGTTCGATGGATCGGACACCGTGGAATTTAATATTTCAGTATTTTCCATAATATCATCGGATATTACATCTTGTGAATTTTTCCTGGATATTTCATTATTGGCATAATTCACTTTTCTATTTTGATCTTCCTTATTACAAGATTGCGATATCGTATCGTTTTCTCTAGCATTATTTGATGTCATAATGCTAGGAATTTCGCGTATGCTTTCTTCCCTTGTATTATTAGAACCTTCTTTAATATTACTTTTTGCAATTTCTACTTGGCTTACTATTTTATTAGCTAAAGCCCCTCGTAACAAATTCGATGAATCTTGTGTAGAAGGAGATCTTGATTCTGGTATTTGTTGACCATATGAACTTTTTGTCAGAGACATCGAAAAAATTTCGTTAATTTTTATATTACTTTGCATTTCCGTTTCCGAGTTCATGTGAGACATTTCTGTGACCGAATTATCTTCTGGCGTCTTTGAACGTCTTAGCAGTAATGTTTCTAAATTTTTATGTCTTTCTTTTCTCTTCGCATCCAGCAATGAAGGTTTGTTTAATTTTTCCTTTAATATATCACTATTCTGCTCTTGTAATTTTGTGCTTGTCGGAAGTGATTCCTTAATTATTGTGGACTTCAAAGCTGTAAAAGCTGACTTTGTATTTTGTATTTCCGTTGATACATTATTCTTTACAACCGTAACCGAGTTCGTTGAAATGCTTGAATTATTATTTTCCTCCGAAGATTGCTTTTCTGAATTTCTATCACATTCAGAATTATTTTCATTATTTTTATCAGATTGAGACTTCGTTAACTTATCCGAAGACATTTCCGTTCTGACATTTTGTAACGTTGATATGTTTTGCGAGTTTTGCCAGTTTTCGGTATCTCTTCGAGTAATTTGTGATCGTATCTCATTTATATAATTATCTAGGTGATGATATAAATGTAGCAGCATTGAAATTGACTTTTCTTGATATGCGCCATCAAATTCCTGCCTGGTAAATAAATGTTGTAGTTTGCTTGATATGAGGAAATATAATTTTATCTGATCACGCAATACAATTTTTTGAATATCCGTTAGAATTGCTAGATTAAAGTTATAGGCAGTTTTATCTATTTTCGACAGCGCAAGTGTGTTTGGCGAAATAGATATTGTTTTATCCTTTTGTAATGTTTTAAGCATCGCATATTCGATAGTTGATTTATGTGGTATATCCGATCCCTGAGGTATAGAAGTTTTCAAAATAATGCCAGATGCATTTTGCGAAACGTCTTGTGAATTTATGGATTGTGTTTTATTTTGTGATTTGGACTTCCTTCTTTTCTTCGGCACGTTTTGTTGCGCATTTGTTGAGGTATTGTTAATTGACAAATCCTTGGACTGATTCACGCGCTGATTTTGTTGCATCTTCTGCTGCGCGTTCGGATTTGTCAAAATATTACGAACGGGATTAGTTTGCGTGTTATTACATGCAGGCTGAGATGACGTAACATAAATATTATTTGGATTTTGATTGTATTGCGATAAGGATTGCGTTTCTTTTGAAAATACTTGAGATACTTGTAAATTGCAGTTCGATTGCCGAGTTATATTTCCAGGTCTAACATTTCCCATTGCAACATCAGTTTTTGAAGTGTTAGAATTTGTTATAAAAGATTCAGATATAACATTATTATGCGCACTCTGCTGCATTCTGAGAGGAACATTTTGATTTGTCATAGACGGAGGATAAATTACTGTTCCTGAGTTTTGTGACGTCTGAGAGTATACTTGTCTCTGTTGTTGCACATTAGTGGCAGATATAGTTGTGGTATTGTTAATTATGCTTTTTGATGCAACGCATAATTGTTTCATGTGAGGAGATGTACTAATATTTCCTTGACTTATTAGCCCATATGAGCGCATATTAATATTCGATGTTGATGAAACGTTATTCATATTTTCAAAAATTTGTTGATTACTAACATTCGACATATTTGCTGATGACATACGCTGACCTTGAATCAAATGATTTGCATTTCTAAAAGGTGGTTGTTGATTAATTTTCGGCATACTTGAATGTACTGCAGGTGCATAACGCATATATTGCTGGCGAATATTTGGCGCAGTTTGTCTCAGGTATGGTACTTGTGAAGAATTAGCTGAATTATTTAAAAATTGTTGCTGGTTGATGTTCGGGATTGTCGGCGTCAAACATGGTGTTATTAAGGATTGTGCAAAATTGCTATTATTCGACATTCTCGCATTTGAAAATGGATGTGGGTTAACATTTGATACTGATGTCTCCGGAGATCTGTAAAAAGCTTCAGTAATATTCGAATATTGCAATGTGTTAGCTGTTGCATCATATTGTCCTGAATTTCGTGTCATAGAAGATGTATATAATCGTATATAAGTATTATATTCCAACTCTGATATTGGTGGACTTAATTGCATTGTTTGATTAATAAAAACTACAACATCTTGAAAACTTAACTGATGCCACATTTTTAACTTTTCCATGTTTTCTCTTATTTGTTTTAAACACTCATTCATTTTTTGTAAGTGTGTCGGGCTTAGATTGTATCGACTAAGGTTACGACAGATTAAGAAGTTGTTGTAAATATTTTCTGTTACAATTTGTGTTGTGATTTGTGAATTTATTAAATCATTACTAATATTTGAAGATTTAGTTTCAGTACCTGTTTTAGATGAAGAATATCCTTCTTTAATATTATTATTGTATGATGGCCGCTGTTTGAATACTGATTGAGGAGATACTGATTGAGATGATGATTGAGCAAGTGCTGATTGAGGAAGTGTTGATTGAGAAGGTGCTGTTTGACAAGATAGAGGAGACACTAACTGAAGAGGTATTGATTGAGAAGGAACTGATTGGGGAGATACTGATTTAGAAGATGCTAATTGAGAAAATACTGATCGAAGGAATTTTGGGCATGCAATATTTGATGTAATCGATGGGTCATGATTTATAGTTTGCGTGGTACATCGTTGATAATTAAGTTCCTCTATGGATCGGACTCTTACTTTGTTATGCGTTACATCCAGGGAAGGTAACCGTTCTCCTGTATTAGTGTCACACGCAGCTTTTGCTGATCCAGTATTGTTTCCAGTCAACTGAGTCTTTTGCTTTTCGATAGATGTCATGCTTTCATTCTGTTCTCTTTGATTATGTTTTGTTGTACTTTCAATTCTCTCTAAGGTATTATCATGAGAAATTTGTTCTTCATTTATCTTCTCTTTGTCGTTCGTGGAAGCTTGTAGTTGTGCTCTTAAATTAGGCACATCACATACAAATTTATTTAATTCAAGATTGTTTTCAACAGTTATCTGCGTCTTTTGTTTGACGGATTGTACGGGTTCGTTCCCTTCTTGGTTACAATCCATGGTTACATTTTTATCTTTAATTAAAATTGCATAATCTTGAAATTTTTCTTGAGAATAATTATCTTTAGTAATAGGATTAGAATCACATATATCTTTCTTAGTACTTGGTACTACTGACTCGATGCATTCGGCAGTAACATCTTGATTAAGATTTGATGTGTTGTTTTCTGAATTTTTACTATTGGAATTCGTGATCCCTTGTTGAAATCTTTCAAAAGATGTTTTATGATTCATTTGAAAGAGTTCGAGAAAACTTGGATTATCCTTAAGCGTATGTAAATTTTTTATGCACGAGTTCACTGCAGACCAAGGTGCTTTTATTGAGAATTTTCGTGATACTCGAGATTTCCACTTAGGTTTTATTTTTATTTCTACTTCAATATCGCTATTGTTATCATTATCTTCTAAGTGACTATCCGACGAATGACCATCACTGGAATTTGATTTGCTTGAAGATGTAGACGAATTTACCGTTATTGTATCATGTCTACTTTTCGGAGAATTGCTTTCTGATTTTATTATTGAAGATTGCTCAACTATCTGTCCATCTTTCGTATTTTGTGACCTATTGCAGCCATCCTTTTTATCCATGTCGCACGATATTGACTCATGTGTAAATGTAGTAGATAATTCTAAATTTGGCATCGCATCGTTTTGCGTCTTTGCATCCTCATTGGTTAAATCAATAATTTCAACATCGTGCATTACTTCCTTCTGATTTTGTAGGATAGTCTGCATATTTGCTTTTTCTGTTATTGTATAAATATTTGATTTTTTCTCTATGTCTTTATTTAAATGCATATCATCAATGTCCAGTTTATGAGACACAGACAATGCAATAATTTCGTTATGCGCATATGTATGATCTTTATTCATGTTTTCTGTATTGAAAATTAATGAAGAATTCTCTAAAAGTTGCTGTGTTGTCATCATCACATTATCTATATTTTCCTGAGAATTATCAGTTAATACATTATGTTCACGTATTGATAGTCTATCTTTTATCTTGTTGTCTATTGTAACATCATGCCTAGTGTAATATTTTTCAGCGTGTATAAAGAAATTTCTTGACTTTTCAGTTTTTTTTTCAAGTGATGTTGCACTCTGTTTGTTTTCTTGTGAATTACTATCAGTGCCACACAATGCTTCATCTTTCAACTTTTCATCTGTTGTAGCGTTATGCCTATCATAATATTTGGTAGATGCAGTAGAATCGCATGAGCGATCGTGAGATATTTTAGTTTGTATTACATTCTTTATATTTTCTCGCAAATTATTAAATGATGTATCAGGTTTGCATGTCGAGACTTTATCTTTTATCCTCTCATCTGTTGTAGAAATATGTGTAGCATAGTAATTTCCGGTAGATGCAGTGGAATCGAATGACCCATCGTTGGATTTTGCTTCAGTCGGTATTGCATTCTTTATATTTTCTTGCGAGTTAGTTGATGTGCTAGATTCACATGTCAATATTTCATCTTTCCTCTTCTCATTTACTGTAATATAAGGCGAAATATAGCGTGGAGCATAGTGCGGAACGGCATAATGGCACACAGCATAGCAAGTTTCAGTTGAGGCAATGAAATCGCACGATTTATTGACAGATTTTATTTTAATCAGTATTGCATCCACAATATTTTTTTGCGAATTATTAATTGATGTGCTAGATTTACACATCGGTGTTTTATATTTTATCTTCTTCTCTGTTGTAGCATCGCGCGAAACATACTGCCTAGCATAGCAAATTTCGGTGGATGCAATGAAATCGCATGATTTATTAACAGATTTTATTTTCGTCAATATTGCGTTTACAAAATTTTCTTGCGAATTATTAATTGATCCATATATGTCAGATCCATATATCAATGGTTCATCCTTTATATCGTGTATAGTATAGCACTTTTCGGTGGATGCAGCGGAATTACATGAACTATCGTCAGATTTTACCTTAGTCTGTGTCATGTTCTCCATATTTTCTTGCGAGTTATCAACTGACATGTCAGATTCACATATCAATGGCTCATCTTTCACTTTCTCATTTGCTATAATATCATATATAGCATAATACTTTTCAGTAGATATAGTGGAAGCGCATGAGCTATCGTCAGAGTTTATTTCAATCGGTATTTCATTCTCTATATTTTCTTGAAAATTATTAATTGACATGCCAGATTCATATATCGATATTTTATCTTTTTCGTCTGTTGCATTATCGTGCATAGCATAACACTTTTCGATAGATGCATTGGAATCGCATGAATTATTATCATCAGATTTTACTTCAATTGATATTGCGCTCTCTGTATCTTTCTGTGAATTATTAATTAATATGTCATGTATCGATGCTCTATCCTTAATCTTCTCATCTGTTGCAGCAACAAGCGTAGCATAGTCTTCGGTAGATGTAATAGAATTACATAAACTGTCTTCAGATTTTATTCTAGCCAGTATTGTGCTTTCTACATTTTCCTGTGACGTAGTAGCTGATATGCTACGTTTATATGCAGATATTTTATCTTCCGTCTCTTCATCTGTTACAGCATCATATATAACGTCATACTTTTCGGTACATGTAGTAGAATCACATATGTTACTGAATTTTATTTTAACTGATGCTGCACTCTCTATATCGTTCTGTGAATTATTAGTTGATTTATGTATTGAATATTTATTCATTTTGGAAATATCTTCTGCCTCGTAATCTGTTGTTGCAGTATCATACAATAAATTATCGAAATATTGTTTTTTTCTCTCAAAGCAATTTAACAGAATTTCGCATTCCTCTTCATTTTCACTAGTATCGGGATCAAAAGTGTCTCTAAAATAATCGTGAAATTTATCTTGTATCTTTTTAATCTTCTTATTCCTTTCTTTTCTACATAATTCGCTTTTTCGCTTCAGCAATTTATGTTTTCTTTCTTTTACCATACATTTTGTAACATTCCCCCAACTTCTTTGCTTCCCATGGTCACATTCATTATCGGATAATATTTCATAATTAGATATTTTAGCATTATTGTCGATCATTTTTTTATCTGGTGACGCATCCGTCTTTTTTCGCTTTCGTATTTTTGTCAGCGACTTTTCATCTAAGTTCAGCGTATTTTCATCTAAATTTTCGGAATTTGTTCTTTTTTAATTTTAGAACTCATGTCAATAAATAAATTATTTCTTTGCAGATTTTTAGATTTTAAATTTATTTGTATCTGATTCATATTTTTTCTTTCAAATGTATGATTTAATGGCATACCTATTTCCTCAGCCAACAATTCCAAATTACCTTGAGAAGCCTGCATATATTTTTCTGAAATAGCATTTTGATTCTTATTTCTGGAATCATTAACTTTTTTTTTGAACACGACTTTAATTCTGAAATTATTGTGTTGCTTGAACTTTTAGGGAAGCTATTATCATTTCTAGATTTATCGAAATTTTCTTGTACAAATGTATCTACGAGTTTAATTTTTTCTGAAGAAAATTCTTTTACATCTGTTTCACTTTTTTGTTTTTCTTTATTTTTTCCTGCAAAAACAGCATTATCTTTTGAAAAATCGATGCTATTTTTAGAATCAAGACAATGTTTTTTTAATTGAATTGGTTCGGTTGTCTCTGATGATTTATCTTCTGATAAAACATATTTTTGAGTAACAGATATATTTGTACTTTTTGTAGAAATCGAAGTAGATTTATCTTTCAAAAAGATCTTATTTTCGGAACAAGAACTTTTATTTACAGATTTATGGATAAAATGCTGTGCATGTTTGCTTAACAATTCGTTTTTCGACAAGGACGCACTAGAAGTTGCGTTAATATTTAATTTTTCTGCAGAAATATCTTTATGATTTCTTGTAACATTATTGTCAATATGAAAATTCTTTTTTGTTACCTCTTGAACAGAATTCTGTATAGTACCGCTTGATAACATTTTTCTAGATGAACTAGACTCATGAATTTTATTTTGACAAATTTTATTACCGTCCATTATACTATTTGATGATATAGTTATATTGCTTGGAATTTGTGTCTCTTTGTGATGAATATCTTGCGAACTATCTGTTTGTTGCTTTTTTTCCATATCATTTTGCTTGCTTTGCAATATTTCCTTATGATTTGAAAGCAAATTTTGGTTGCTGTACTGGAATATTTTTCTGAAACATACAGAAATTGCTGTATATAATAATAGCGTACATTATAAATATAATAAAAAATTAAACAATTGCAAAGATATTTACAATTGCGCAATTATCAATATAAATAAAATAATTGAAATAGTTAACAAAAAATATATATTTGTTTAAAAAGTGTTCTGTTGCAAGATGTGCTAATTAATATTATGAAAGAAAAAAAATCTATTTTCTATTTATTTTTAAATTTCTATCTTTTTAGAGTAAATGCTTGTGCTCGTTAATTCTTCGAAAATTAATTGGTATTTTGGAAGTTAAATAGTCTGTTACACTCACGCAAGAAACTGAGTTAGTCTGTGTTCATTATATGAAAGCCTGTCACGAGCAAGAAAGCTTTCGCGAATCTGATTCGGAAATTCTGTTCTCTTCTGTCCTTTAGAATCATTTTCATCTTTGGTTTCACATGTTCCGATCAGCGATCTTTGATTATTCGCGGATTGTCTTCGATATTCCATGATCATGTCAAAAGACGGTGAGAATCGTTCGCAAATTCGAAAATACGAATTTGAATTTTCTCGTGTATCATCGAGTATCACAAAGTCAAAGATATTTCGTAAAACAGATGCGGGATGCTGCAACGATCCATCACAATATTTCATTCGCAGCACGCTGGTCTTCCTCACTCGATTTTTTATCAGCGTACCGTTATAAGATTTCTTTATTCGTCTGTACCTTTAATGTCAAACTCGTGAATACGAAAATGGATCGAATGGATGTAAATGGATCGAAGACACACGAGCATGACCGCAAATAAACGAAGATGCAATTGAAAAATTAATTGTTGTATGCTTTAATTATCTCGCTGCTTGCAATAATACACCGGAAGAGTCGAATATCGCTGAAATAATGAGATTTATATATAACATCGCGGCGAATTTGATTTGTTGAAATTCAAAACTAGCAAGATTAAAAAAAGAATAAAAAAAATTTTGCCTCGGATTTTCAATCTTATTCATCACCTTTATTTTCATATAATTCTTTAAATTTAATTATATCTGCGCGATTTCTATTATTAATTATAACTTCATGTTTTCTTATGATAAATATATGAATAATAAAATTTATTAGATAATAAGTAAGTGAAAATATGGCTTTGGTTAATAAAACATATATTTAATATTTCATACTAAATTGCGCATTGTTTACCGCGCCATTCCCAAAGTCATATTTTCACTATTTATTATTTATTATTATTGGGAATCTTGTTTATGGTTTTGTTAACTTGTAAAAAAAAAAATAATCATGATCGTTATAAATATCTCATAATAAATAATAAAATAAAGATCTCATCGATAAAGAAATGTTTACAAGCAGTCAAAAATTTATTTGCAAGTTACGAAATTCGCTTTGCCTTATTTTTAAAAATATAAAATATTAAATACAAACTCAGCAAAGTTCTTAAAAATTCATTGATCTATGAATCGACTCTGCGCGATTCATCAATTTGCGAGGAAGGAGCATATGATTATTGATAACTATTTGTATATGTTTACGTGTTTACGCATACGATATTCCATAATCAAATCAGAATTTGACGAGATGATTTGATCTTAGATATTATCATTTATGTGAGCGTAAATATGATGATTGTATAATGCCATATCCCGAAAATAGATTTTTTGCAATGTATTAGAGCAATTGATACTATAAATTAACATTTTATTCGAATAATGAAATAATAATCATCGTAATACATACGCACCAATCATAAGAACGAAGCAATTAGCAATGTGTAAATATTCTTTAAACAATGCAGCGATGAATATTATATTAT